ATGGAGATGGCCATTGGTAAGCCAAGCAGGAAGGACTGGAACAGATCCTTTCCTCTTAGCCCTCAGGAGGAACCAATTCTGCTGACACCTTGATCTTGGGGTTTTGGCCTCCAAACCTGGGAGATAACACATGTCTGTTGTTTAAGCTGCCCATTCTGTGGTACCTTATTTCAGTAGCCCTAGCAAATAAATTCACCTCCCAATGTCCTTTCTACCCCTTAGCTGTGGTCATGCAGTAGGAGAGTGGATCATTTGGACATGTGACCTAAGAGATTCCAGTCGGGGAGAAGTCCAGGATTGTTTTGTTCCTTGGTTAAAGAAGAAATATCCTTTCCTCCTGAGAGGAGAACGAGAAACGAGAAGACCAAAAAGCTCTGGCTGCCATCTTGCTACCCAAAGGGAAGTCATTCTGAAGACGAAGCCAAGAAAAAGGCTGAGAAAAGTACAGAGAAATGGAAAACCATCCCTAATATCACCGTGGACCTCTGGATCAAAGCCTTGCTTGAAGCTAACCAATACCAATAACTCTTTTAGTGGGTAAACCATTTTGAGTAAATTTTCTGTGATGGGCAACTTGAAAGCACTATAAATGATACAAATTTTGTCAGTTAAAACACATTTCTTCAGGGAAGGATAATCAGGATGATAAGGGCATTATCAGGAAAACTAGGTAAAAGAAAGATTTAGAGGTGGGCCACGTGGGCTGCTTTCAACACAGAGCTATGATGAGGAAGGACTTATACTGTGTGGCCCCAGAAGAGGGACTAGAACCACAGAGTCCTACTGGTGGGGTTCTTCCCCAGCACAGGCAATAAGGCAGGGTATTGTCAGTGGGGAATTAGAAAACAACGATAAAACTCACAAAAAGTCTATGTTCTTTTATTAGCATTGCATACTGGAAATTCTAAACAATTTTACTGATGGAATGTTCCCTCCTGCTGGAACAGACAGCTCCCACTGCCCCTCCACCGCTTATTACACCACTGCCAATGAGAAAAAATTATAGGGAGTTAAGTTTCAACTTTGGTAAAGAAAGATCTTTCCAACAGGAAATAATGGAATGTACTATCTTGAGGTTGATGAATTATCCATCACTGGCAGTGTTCAAATAGAGGCTGGAAAGCTGCTCTGCCTGAATGTTATTCAGTAGATTACTGAATTCAATGGGGGAATTACCTTAAATGACCTTGAAGACACCAGATGACTTGATGAGTCTCTACAAACAATGGCAGTAAACAATTGAGACAAATCTTTAGAAAAGCATCTTTGAGTGAAAGGAGGGTATTTGGGTCTTCCCCATTATGATGTGAGTAGCAATGAAATAGAAATATTCCAAGGTTACCTGCTTGGGTGCCAATGCCTTTGGGGGAATTGGAAATCAAACTACATGGAAGAAGGTAAGAGGTAAAGTCTGTACTTACTAATGGTTAGAGACATGGTGGTTTGGGATCCAGGGGATGACCTAAGCTATTCAACTTTCCGGAATCTAGAAGATCATGAAGAAGAAGACCCAAATACTAGTAATGAGACACCGAAGTAGATATGACCCCATCACAGTGACCTAGGGCAGATCATTTAACCCTTCTGCATAGTTCCAACCTCGTTGTGTTGTAGAAACATTAAATGTGTTAATATGCATAAAGTCTTCTTCTATAAAGTCAGCCTGGCATAATGTTAGTGCTACGTGAATGCTAGTCACTATTATCCTAAAGCTGCTTCTCTAGTGAACTGTAAGCCTCTTTGCTCTTCCACATTGCTTCAAACTTTCTTGCTCAGAATGCCAGGACAAAGTTATTTCCCGTTCAGATCCCATGCCAGCCCCTTAGTAACTATTACACTAATTGGTTTCTTGGAGGCTAAAAGTTTTAATTTGGTGTCATTAGAATATGTTTAATATTATAAATTATGTATTTGTTCACTTATTTCTTTACTAATTTAAATACTTACTGGGCGCCTACTTTGTTTTAGAAACTGTCTGAGATCCAAGGGATAAAATCAGCAGTAAAAATAGACCCAATCCTTGTCCTGACGAAGCTGATTGGAATGGGGCAGTGGGAAGTGAGTATAAGACCGACATAAATTAAAAGTCACATGAATGATGGTGACATCACAGCTCTGGTGGTGCTATCATGAAGGTAAGCAGCACTTCTAAGACTACGAAATTCGGCAATACTCTAATTTCAGAGTGTTGCCTAAATTAGAGTATGGGGGCTTCTCTGAGCAAGTGGTGTTTAAACCAGAATCTAAAATGCATGAGTTAACTAGGAAGTTAGGAAAATTCCAGGCAAACGCAGTGGTGCATGAAATTGTCCTAACACTTACAACCACCATTTACAAAGTGCAGACCTTTCGTCAGATGCTCTGATGAGAAATTTATATTCATTACTTGATCTAAACATCACATCAGCCCTTTGAGGTGGAAATGAATGGCCCATTTTACAAATAAGGAATTAGGACTCAGAGTGGCCAATAACTGATACAAGGTCACATATCTTGTAAACAGGTTCAATCGCGGCTCAGTCTAACTCCACCACGGGGCTCTTACCCCTGAGGGCAGAACTGTCATATTTGTCTTTCTAACTAAAGACTGGAACAGTGTCTAGCATGTGGTAGATGTTCAGTTAACCCTATTGTATAGACATTGAGCATAATAAAATTGTACTGAAGGGGAAGAAAAGCCACTCTGTGTAGGGATGAAAGATGATTAGACTATGTATGGAAGGATAGAAAAGGTAAGGTTTCTAGAAGAAGGTACTTCGATGGCAAAGCCTGCATGTGGAAATACACATGACCTGAGTGGCGACACTGCTTGAAAGAATACGCTCCTTTGATACATAGTGAATTATCATTGTCATATGAAATACTTAATACAGTCAGGAAGACCACTATGGCCAGCCCTAAAAATGTGGTAGATCTGAATTATCTTTCAGACATTTTCCAACCTGGGACTAAACTAATACCAAATGTTCTTGCAAACAAGTTCCAAAACTTTATCAGTTTCCAAAGCCATTACCTAAGTGGGGACCTAAGTAGAGTGAGGACAGATTAAGTGAGCTGATAGTCATTGAAAGAAGCTGGGCAGCATGACAGACATTAAGAAAGATGGAACCACCACTTGGGTATCAGATGACTTTCAAAGCAGAGCCTTAGACAAAAGAGATGCATGTGAGCCTTCAGCACAGTGGCTGGTATATAGGTAGTAATGTTTCTTGTAATTATGCACCCAATTTAAAAGAAATCACTTTTTGCCAAATCACTGCCTATTTATTTATTTAGAGACAGAATCTCACTCTGTTACCCTGGCTGAGTGCAGTGGTGGGATCTCAGCTCACTGCAAGCTCTGCCTCCCAGGTTCAAGCAATTCTCTGCCTCAGCCTCCCGAGTAGCTGGAATTATAGGCACCCGCCACTGCACCAGGCTAATTTTTGTGTTTTTAGTAGAGACAGAGTTTCACCATCTTGGCCAGGCTGGTCTTGAAATCCTGACCTCGTGATCTACATGCCTCAGCCTCCCAAAGTGCTGGGATTACAGGTGTGAGCCACCATGCCTGGCCCCACTGCCTTTACTTTATAAAACAGGGTTTTTGCTCAAACTGGTATCCAAGGGGTTGAGGAATAAGATTATTTTCCTTTCCTACCAAGAGACTGTCCTTGGGCGCTTCCAGGGGTGGATCTGGGCAAGCACCGTGATCTCATTCCAGCTCCCTCATAGAGGAAAGGAAAAGTATTGCCCAAGGTCTGGATCTCAGAGCTTCTGTGGACTGCAGAGTCTGGAGATATGCAGTTTCTGGGAATGGATACCTAAGCCTCCATTTCCGTTCTCTGCAATATGTAAGTCCCATTTGTAAATTCCAGGTCTTCAAAGCACAGAACTGTATACCCTTGTACATCATGGGCAGTAAATTATTATACTCACAATATTGCATAAGGGGGTACTATTGTATCCCCATCTTACAGATCAGTCAACTGTAGATTAATTTTGCCCTAGGTTATACAGCTAGAAAGTGGTAGAGCCTGTAGTTTTCTTTTTCTCTGAAGGAAGCATAATCTATCAATTAACAATGTAGCTCTACGTGCCATTAAGAACTGAACTCAAATTCTAGTTCTACAACATTTTAATTGTGTGACTGTGGGCAAATATTCAGTCTTACTAAGGTTCTCCCTCTGGAAAAAGTGTCTATCTTAGTTCTTACGTTACCATGTCCCGTGCTCTCCCTTCTGAGTATGTAACTGTTCGTTCTGTTTTTTTCTTGTCAGCTTCTCTTCCTGCCATAAATCAGATGCTGCCAAACCATCTGTTCTCCTTCCTCTTTTCTTCTTTTCTTTCTCTATATTCTCTTGTTTTTGGCAGTCTCAGGCAATGTGACAGGAAGAAGAGCAAGTGGAGAATTGCACACTGGCCCTTTAATTCTTCATTTGGAAATAGGACCTTTCGCTGGACAGAACAAATCACATGCCTGTATTTAAGTTCAAGATGGCAGGCATCTCTTTCAGAGCCATCTCTTACACATCAGCATCCTCCTCTCTTGCCTCTGTCCCGAAGACTTCCAAAAATTTATTTCTTATCCATTAGAAATCTCACAACTGATCACGATTCCCTGTTTGCTTTGACTGCTAGGAAACCCAAAGCCAAATTTGCTGTTTACCTCTAGCATTTTTACAGGACCTATGGAATAAAGATTATGTGTTAACCTTAGGGATTAAATTTAATTTAATTCTCCTTTCTTTATTTTTCTTTTATCTAGTTTCTCTGTTTTAAAAATTCTGTTGTGCATATTTGCATATACCACTCAAATTATTTTTAATGCATCATGTATATAAGTGCATGCATATATACACATATATACACACATATGTATATGCATGCACTTATTTACATAACTGCTCATTCTCTTTTATCTTCTCGCTTTTCTCTCTCTATATATATATATGAATGTATGTGTATATATGTATATGTATGTATGCATATATATATATGTGCCAAACATCCATACAATATGTTTGGTCCTTAAATTTCATAATAAATACAAATGAGAATTTGTCACTGCCCACTGGGAATCTCCACTAGGTTGTCCTATAGTTACCTCAAATGCAATATGCTCCAAACAAAACTTATCTTTCCTTTGAATGGTCTTCTCTACTTAAACTCCTCTTTCCACTGTTGGCTTAACCATGTGAGGAAGATTGCAAACAAAGACCCTTCACCCTTCCCTTATCCACATTCCATTGATTTATCTTTCACAATTTCCTAACATCCGGTCAAATGAGTCACTGCATGCTTTTCAAATATGTCATGTGCTTCCCCATTACCGTAACTTTACTCATGTTATTTTCTCTGTCTGGAATATCTCCTACCAACTCTCTACCTGTAAAAATCCTTCTCATTCTTGAAAACCTCTCTCAAGGGTTTTCTTGTATAATGCCCAGCCTCATTAGCCAACCAATAGGAGCTTTCTTTCCTTCCAATTTCACTTATTTCATTTGACTCAGCTGACTTTACACCATACATTTCTCATATACTTTTCTTTAGCTTCCTAACATTTAGGGCACTCCTTGAGGCAAGGATTGTGCCTCACTTTGCTTTGTATTTGTAGCCCCCAGCTTTTTCTGGCATAGTTTTGAATTGCCTTGAGCCTGAAGTTCATTATAGGTGAACTTTAATACCTATCAAATGGGAACATGTGTATGCCTGACTCTCCCTCTTCTCTTCCCTCATCCTTTGCGTCTTTGAGCTCTTTAAACATGTCCCCCTAACATGTTTTAAATCTATCTTCTATTCACAATTTCCACTTCCTTGGTTCAGACCCTCATTGTCTCTCATATAGATAACTTCAAAATCCCCTGAACCCCTCTTCCTGCCTTCAAAACTGGTGACTCTGAAAGGCATAGCTCTCTGCTTCAAACTTTTCAATGGCTTATCCAAGGCAATGAAATGAAGTCCCAGTTTCTTTTATGACAAAAGAGGCTCTATATAATCTAGCCGGGCTCATTTCTCCCATCTTATTATCTCTCAGAATTGACACTTTTTCTGGTCATGCATTCCTTCCCAACCCTAACCAAGAAAATTAGGACTGGCCATGTGGTGGGCATTTATTGTTTTTGTCTGCTTATTCCTCCTCTCTTCTAGAATCCTGCACTTCTAACTACATAGTTGACCAGTTAGAATACTTCATTTCTTTCTCCAGGACATGGCCCACATAGACTCTTTCCTGGGACTTTCTAAATGGAGCTGTGTGAGAAGAGTTCCTTTCTGTTTTGACTCTGGAGCTAAAGGTTGAGAGCTCAGAGCTACCCATGTTCTACCCTGTGAACATGAAGGCAATCAATTCAGGGAGTCAAGCAGAAACAAGCCATTCAGAGCAAGTCGTTCACGTCACCCTGGACACTCTGGCTCTGCTTTCCACACTCATGCCAGGTTTGTTTGTCCAGTGCTTTTTGTTCCAGGTGCCATCCCAGGAGGCTTAGTTACCTGTAAGCATTTGGTTAATATCGCTCTCTTCTCAGCTAGACCGTAAGCTCCCCAAGTGCACAACTATGTTGATTTTGTTCTCTGCTGGATCTCCAGCACTTAAATAAATATTTATAGTTGACTGTGAGGCAGATCTGTGAGAGGAATGAAGAAGAATGTTAAGACCTCCCAGATGGGCTTCGGGTGGCCTATCCAAGGTGGAACTTTGCATAATGAGAAATGTAATTCAGTAGGAAAACAAAGAATTCCCTCATCCTCCTCTGGTCTCTGAACAGGTGATCAGCTCAAGGTAAGATTTTTTTTCTATTAAGGGTCTGAAACTTTGTACTTCCTAATAATAGGCAGACATTGTTTTAGATATACTGCCCGATGGGACAATATCATATTATTTGTGAGACTTCAGTTTAGTTCCTCAGAACCCTTCTTCCCAACTAGACACAAACTTCTTAAGAGTGAGTATATGCCTAAGAGAATTGAAAATGCGGCCACACAAAAACTTGCACACAAATATTCATGGCACCTCTATTCACAATATTTAAAAAGTAAAGTACCTAAAATGTCCATCAACTGATGAATAGATAAATAAAATATGATATATCCACATCATGAAATATTGTTTGGCCATAAAAAGGAACGAAGCTCTGATGAATGCTACAATATAGACGAACCTTGAATACATTATACTAAGTGAAAGAAACTGGTCACAAGGGACTACATATTGTATGATTCCATTTTTATAAAATGTCCATCTCTGACTTCCCTTCAGAATGAATAAATCTTTTGCCTTTTACTAAAATGTCCAGAATAGGCAACTCCATAGAGGCAGAATGTAGATTAGTAGTTCCTAAGGGCTAAGAAGAAGAGGATAGGGAGTGACTGATAATGGGTATGCAGTTTCTTTTTGGGTGTGAAAATGTTCTGCAACTGGATAGTGGTGAGAATTGCACAACCTTGTAAATACACTAACACTTACTGAATTGTATACACTTTCAAAGGGTGAAGTTTATGGCATGTGAATTATGCCTCTATTAAAAAAAGTTCTTAAAGGGTAAAAAAAAAAACCAGACTTTTTATACTTTATATCTATACAAAATCTCATATTTTCTATTTTTATTTTGTTCTCTTTATTTTTATTTTTTGACCCTACTCTTGTGGCAGATTACATTTCCTGTGTTCCTAGATCTTGATTCTAGGGTTTTATTTTTGGTCAAGATATTCTGCTGCAGCCTTGCCACGGTGAAGATGTGTTAGGCCTAAAGAAATTATTTTGGGGGAGAGAACTGGAATGGGGGCTGATTCAATAGCCCACAAGCAAGAATAATCAGACATCTTCATTGGAAGGTGTGAAAGGAGACCCAGAACTCCCATTCTCTCCTTCCCTGGCCAAACTCAAAACCTCAACTCTACTCTCTGCCTTGAGATTATCAGGCCATGTTCTTTATCTCTGTCTTTATGACAGCTCCTACAAGAAGGTCCCAATTCCCAAACTCCATAATTCCTTGATTTTGCCTCATCTCCCATCTTCTCATTTGCCAGTGTGTCTTCCAAAATCCATTGATCATTATCAACAAAATCCTATATGATGTCAAAACCTTCTCTAGTTTCCTTCACCCTCTTGCTCTAACCAAGACATGGTACCCTATTGAGGGCCACCAGCTTTGAAGGTCATGAGAGAAATGATACCACCCATTACCTTCTCTGGCTCCAGTCTTCGCCAGACGCCTGAGTGACCTCCTATTATGTCCTACAGATTCTAGTTCCTGGCCCACTGCCATTCTCTCCATCACTACTCCTGAAGTAGTTCCTGATGATTTCAATGACCACACAGGTAAACTCTGCAGTGCCTTTGCTTCTCAGTTCCTTGATCTCCTCTCCTCCAAGGATCTTATATCTCAGCTGCCCACGATCATGGTCATACCCTAGATCCTATTATTCTCAATTTCTGCACCACCTTCTATAATCTTAATTTTATTCGTCTCTCTCCCTGATCACCACCTCCTTTTTCACTCCTTATGGTATTCAGTGTGAAAGATTCTCTAGCTTCATCAAGATCCTCAACCTATTGATCTCATCAGCTTCCAACAATAGGGACTGGTCAAATAAACCATGGCCTATCCAGGAACATATAGCACTTGCAAGTATTGACTCTGGAGTCAAACAACGTGGGCTCTCCCACTACTCCTGCCATCGACTGGCTCTGTGACCTTGGGCAAACTATTTAACCTTACTAAGGTTATTTGACGATTTTTATATGAAATACTGCAAGGTGACGAGCATGGTGCCAGGCCTATTTGGGATTCTTAATAAAGGAGAATGATTAGTATGTTTAATAAACAGTGTAAATTTTGGCCAGCCTCACAACTCTCCATCTTGTTCCGGTAATAGCATCCCAACTTTACTTGAGAAACACCTCCTTTCCTGAAGCAGGAAAGGGCTAATCTCCAATCCAGCTCCCTCAAATGGCACACCACGAACCCCAGCCTGGTTAGTGGGGGCATTTGAAGCCCTGGAAATAGTGACTGATTCAAGCTAAGCCAAGCCAATGGAAATCTACACAGGCACTTTTTGGTAAAACAATTGGGACAGAGAGGTTCTCTACTGGATGTGGGGCTGGTAGGACCTAAGCATGCAGGAAAGGGAGCCCACTTGAAAGCAGAAAGAACACCAAGAAAAAGGAAGGAAAGGGTTAAAGGGAGGCTGGACTCTTGGGGTTGTCTGAGTCCTTGGGTTCAGCCATATTTAAAGTCTACCTCTAGACGTTTTAGCTTCATGGGCCAAACAATTTCCTCAATGCTGCTTGAACCGGGTTGAGTTGGCTCCTATTTCCTTCAGAGTTCCCACTATTCCATTATTACACTGTCATACATCCCTTATTTGAGCTGATTTGAGATGTCCGGCATCAGAAGTGTTGCAGATTTCAGATTTTTAAAAACATTTTTAGAATATTTGCATATATATATGAGATATCTTCGGTATGGGACCTAAGTCTAAATATGAAATTTATCCATGTTTCATATACACCTTATACACATAGGCTGCAGATTATTTTGTATAATATTGTATTTAGTTATTTATTTATTTTGAGATAGGGTCTTGCCCTATCACTCAGGTAAGAGCGTAGTGACACCATCACAGCTCATGGCAGCCTTGACTTCCCAGGCTCAAGCAATCCTCCTGCCTCAGCCTCCTGAGTAGCTGGGACCATAGGTACATGCCACTTCACCCAGCTAATATTTGTTAAATTTTTTGTAGCAATGGGGTCTCACTATGTTGCCCAGGCTAGACTTGAACTCCTGGGCTCAAGCAATCCTCCCATCTCAGCTTCCCAAAGTGCTGGGATCATAGGTGTGAGTCACTGCACCTGGCCCTACAATATTTTAAATAATTTTGTGCACAAAACAGTTTGTGTATGTTGAATTATCAGAAAGCAAAGGTGTCACTGTCTTAGCCACCCATGGGGATAATCTGTGGTTGTTTGACATCGTCGTCATTCCCCACTCTGAAATTATACAGGATTGATAAGTAATCATTCTTTTTTTTTTTTTTTTTTTTTTTGAGACGGAGTTTCGCTCTTGTTACCCAGGCTGGAGTGCAATGGCGCGATCTCGGCTCACCGCAACCTCCGCCTCCTGGGTTCAGGCAATTGTCCTGCCTCAGCCTCCTGAGTAGCTGGGATTAACAGGCACACGCCACCGTGACCAGCTAATTTTTTGTATTCTTAGTAGAGACGGGGTTTCTCCATGTTGACCAGGATGGTCTCGATCTGTTGACCTCATGATCCACCTGCCTCGGCCTCCCAAAGTGCTGGGATTACAGGCGTGAGCCGCCGAGCCCGGCCGATAAGGAATCATTCTTACACTTATGTCACCTTTTTTACTGTTAGGTATTTGCATGTAAATAACATCAATACACGGGAAAATAATATATTCACGGTAACTTGTGCCATCATGTCAGGACTCAAAATGTTTCAGATTTTGGAGTATTTTGAATTTCACATTTTTGGATCAGGGATACGCAGTGTGTATAGTGAAATACAAATCTCCAATAAAAAGAATGGTGATATAAAACACTGGGGCACAGAAAGATACTTATTATATATGTTTAATTGAGAAAAGCAACTTAGAGAAATATATCAATAAGAAGAAAAATAAATTTTTGAAGTCCTCATTTATAGCATTTGCCAATTTCTGTAGTGTAAATACTCTCAACATGGCTGCTTTCAAGCTACAGAAGAAAAAGAATACAAATCAATAAGATCCCAGTTTTATTTTTTTAAATAGATATATGAAAAGAAGTCTCTAAGAATATATGACAATAGGTTAGCAAAAGATAGATATGTTAACAGTTATGTATGCTGCTTGACATAACTATAGATTTCTGTGGGTGGTAGGACTATAGATAATGTGTATCTTGAGCCCAGGAGTTCAAGACTAGCCTGGGCAAGATAGTGAGACCCCATTGCTACAAAAGATTAAAAAAATATTAGGCGGGTGAGATGGCTCCTATGGTCTCAGCTACTCAGGAGGCTGAGGCAGGAGGATTGCTTAATACCAATACAGATTAATATTCCATTTCCAATCACCTCTTTTTGGCTATATTTTCTAATGTTCACAATGTGCATAATGATTTGTACAGTTTTTTTTTTTTTTTTGAGATGGAGTTCTGTCTTGGCACCCAGGCTGGAGTGCAGTGGTGCCATCTCGGCTTGTAACCGCCACCTCCTGGGTTCAAGCAATTCTTCTGCCTCAGCCTCTCAAGTAGCTTGGATTACAGGCATCCACCACCATGCCTCGCTGATTTTTGCATTTTTTAGTAGAGATGGGGTCTCACCATGTTGGCTAGGCTGGTCTTGACCTCCTGACCTCAAGTGATCCTCCCGCCTCAGCCTCCTAAATTGCTGGGATTATAGGTGTGTGCCATCAGGCCTGGCCATTTGCACAATTTTTTAAAAAGAAGTTTCCCACATGAGAAAAATCAGCCATCCCTTGCCACACCTGTGATCACAGCATGAAATTCCACCTTTCTCAGTTGCCCCTCTCATGATCCTGCAGGGTGTCTGGGACTGGGTGAACCTGTTCTCCATCTGTTCTGTGTGTTCTGTGGGTTTGTGGCTCCTTGGTGTGCCAGACCTTACAACCCTGCACCGTTTCCAATCACAGAACCACCATTTACAAGTTTAAACAGTCCTAGGGCAATTGAGAAGTTCACAGTGAATTAACCATGCCCTCTTGGGAGAGGGGCAGGGAGAGTGATATGTGTACAGAGCTTTCAAAAGGGATTAATCACAGC